CCCCCCCCCCAACAACCGGGCACCGGCGCCCAGCCCCCCCCCCGGGAGGGGGGGGAGGCAGCGGTGCCCGCTGAGGAGGGGAGAGCTGGAGGCCCCGTGGGGTGAGCAACAGGGCTGGTGGGCACAGGCCGAACGAATCCGGCAAGACCCAAAGCGGGGTCCGGTCCACCTGCCCTGTGAATCTGCCCTGGTGAGACGTCCTTTCCCTCCCCCGGAGAGCTCTCTTCGCCGGTGCCCTTTTGTTGGGGAGGAACTGTGAGGAAGGACTTTGAGGCCAGCAGCATTCAAGCTGCCCCCACTTCCTTCCACAGGCATCGACTACAAGACCACCACCATCCTGCTGGACGGGCGTCGGGTGAAGCTGCAACTCTGGTGAGTAGGTCCCAGCCCCCAGCTCTGGGAGGGGGGACCGGTGCGCCCGTGAGCAGACCCCGTGGAGGTGGGGATCCACGTCCATTGAGCCCTCATCCACGGGAGGGAACCCCAGGGCCTTTGTGGGTCCCTGGGAGTCTGTCCAGGATGTGGCCTTGCTGACACCTGCCTCTGCCTCTGCCTCTGCCTCCCCAGTGCCAGGAGGGGCCCGTGAGTGCGATGGAGACAGACCCCTGGCAGGTGTGGGGAGGTTGGGAGGCAAGAGACCCCCCTGCCCAGGTCTGGACTGGGTGTCTCTTCAGTGCCTCCCCCCCACCCCCCCCAGCCTCTGAGGTTCGGGTCACAAACCCCTGCCTCTGCCCCTCAGCTTCAGGTGGGATGGGGGTGGGAGACCTGAGCGTTCCTGCTTTCACCAATCCCTGGGTTGCCCGCCTCCCTGTGTGACTTGCCCAAGTACTGTCCCCGCCTGTGTCACCCCTTCTCCTGGGCCACCTGCTGGCCCTCTTCGCCGCCCCCAACCCCATACACGCCCTTGAGCCTCCAAGCCCTGGAAGCCTCTCCTGCTTCCTCACTCCCTCTTTCCCAGGAGCAGTCAGCCCCAAAGTCCAGCCGGGAGCCTCTCCGCAATGTCCCCTCAGCACCTGTGCCTTCCCGCCACCCACCCCACGACGTTTGGGTTGTGGGTAAGGCTTGCCCCACCAGCAGCCTGTGGGTCAGTGAGGCTCAGGCACTCTGCTCTCACCTGCAGTGCTCTCATTCCTACCTTGCACGCACCCTTGGCACAGGCCTGAGCAGCTGCAGGGCCCTGGGCTTACCCTGCCTCATCTTTCTCCTCCCCAGGGACCATCCAGGGCCCCGCTCTCAGCCCATACTTGCCCTGGATGCCGAAGGCTGCTCCACGTCTCCTAGGCACCCTCTCGACATTTCCCGATTCTGTTTTTCATCTGAGTGGCCTGTCTTAGTAAATGCCTTCATGTCCCTGCGCCCCCAGTTGCTCTGACCAGACCCCACAGTTTTCCACGGCACCCCCACACCAGGGAGCATTCCCATTTCATGAGAGCCACCCATCTCCCATGCGGAGCCAGTGGCTACCTCCCAAGGTTGCCCTCCTCCTGCGTCTCCTCGCCCCTAGACTTGTAGCCACCCCCGTCTGCGGGCAAAGCCTAAACTCTGTAGGGACTGATCTGGGAGTTCTCCGTGCATTTGCTCCCAGCACGTGAGGTGCTCCTCCCACATCTTTGGCCACAGTCTGCACCTCTGACCCTTCTAAACCCAGGCCCTGCTCTCCTCAGCAGAGCCTCATCTAGGACTCAGAAGGCAGAGGTGGGTCACCAAAGAAAAGCCGTGCTGGGTCTCGCTGTTTGTATATGAGGACGCGCCTGGCGTGCAGGGGAGGCCTGCCCTCCCACCCTCATCTCTAGGGGATCGAGTGTTGATGTGGGACTGTTGATTGCACATGCAGATGAGTGTTGCCCTTCTGTAACCTGCGGGGAATCACCACCCGCTGGGCCCGAGAGCCACAACCATGAGAGCAGGCTGCTGGAATCTATCCCAGGGAACATTACTTCTCTTTGTCCTGATTTATGCTCCTGGAGCTCCATTCCAGGTGTCAGGGGCCCCCACGTCCATTCCTCGTATTGACAAACTTAGGGACGTATCTGCAGTGGGATGGCCACTGACTGACCATTGTAAAATATGTTTGCTATGGCTCCCAAGTTCAAAACCCTATTGTCAGGAAGAAGCAGTGATTTCTTCTCACTGGCCTCCAACATCTTTTCCAGGGATACATCCGGGCAGGGAAGATTTTGTACCATATTCCGCTCCTACTCGCGGGGCGCACAGGTAACACCCCCTGAGCCAGGAAGTCAGACTGACTGAATGATGGCATTGGAATGTTTGTTGATGCAAGAATCTCAAAGTGTTTAAAAAAGAAGAGTCTGAAAGTGTGGCAAGGAATGTTTGGTGGCTTGCAAACCATCAGCATCAGGGATGTATGTGTGCATGTGTTATGTTTGCACGCACTTGTGCACACGAGCTCTGGCCGCAGATGTGTGTGTGTGTATACGTATGCGTGTGTGTGCACATCTGTATGTGTGCACCTGTGTTCACGTGACTGTGTGTGTATGTCTGTGCGCAGGTAGGAGAGCACTCTGTCCAGGTGGGTGGGCTCTGCCCCTAGGAAGTTGGTCACCCCTGCAGTCCCTCCACATTCCATGTCCCTAGAGCAGCATGTGGATCGGGGGACTCGAATGCTAGTCCCCAACTTACCTTGACATTTGAGAGTGGATTAACGAGTTCATGAAGCACCATTAGAAGTAAATATTTAACTACTGCTTTTGGTAGACAAATAAAAATACTGTGTTTTCCATTAAAATTAGTAAAATGGTCGTTTAGCTGGCTGTGAGTCTGTGACTGAGTAGCCTGCACACTGGCCAGCATGGCCCAGAGCTGCGCCCACCTCTGTCCTGTAAGGTAAGCCTGGTGCCTCTCTCCGCAGGGTGTGATCCTGGTCTATGACATCGCAAACCGCTGGTCCTTTGATGGCATCGACCGGTGGATTAAGGAGATAGATGAGGTATGAGCACTGTGCCAGAGCGCCACCCGAGTGGGCTTGAGGGCCAGGGCACGAGGCTTCACCAGCAAGGACACCAATCCCCTCCCTGGACAGGACCGGGCCCTGACCTGGAGCCCCACCAAGCCCAGGAGCCAGAGCCGCGAGCTGCCTGCTGGCACGCAGACCTGGCCAACTGCCGATGTGGGTACAGAGCAGCCCTGCACTCGTCATGTTGTTTCCTGCAGCTGCCGGAACACATCGCCATAAACAACAGAAATGTGTTCTCTCACACCTTGGAGGCCAGGAGCCCGAACTCCAGTGTCATCAGGGCTGGGCTCCCTCTGAAGCCTCCAGAGGAGGGTCCTTCCTGCCTCTTCCAGTTCCCGGTGGCTGCCGACAGCTCCTGGCCTGTGGTCCCATAACTCTGCCCCCACGTGGCTTTTCCCCTGTGTGTCCTGGGTCCTCTCCTCTTCTCACAAGGACACCAGTGCCTGGATTGACGGCCCTTCCCAGTGGCCTCATCTTAACCAAATACATCTGCAAACGTCCTTCTCCAATAAGGACACGTTCTGAGGTTTTGGGTGGGCGTGAATTTGGGGAGGACGCCATGTACCCCGCACACCAGCGGTGCCAGGAACAGAAGCACAAGTAACCCCTGTTCCTTGCCTTTCTCTCACCCTTCAGCATGCCCCTGGTGTCCCTAAAATCCTGGTGGGAAACCGCCTGCATCTGGCCTTCAAGCGGCAAGTCCCCACGGAGCAGGCCCAGGCCTACGCAGCGCGCCTGGGTGTCACCTTCTTCGAGGTCAGCCCTCTGTGCAACTTCAACATCACCGAGTCCTTCACGGAGCTGGCCAGGACCGTGCTGCTGCGGCACGGGATGGACCGACTCTGGAGGCCCAGCAAGGGTAGGCACCCGCCAGGCCGTCCTCCAGCCCCCGGCCCCCCGGCCCGCCTCCCAGGACCCACCCGAGGCAGCCGCGTCCATTCCCAGGGAGTGAATGCGGTTAATTAGAAGTCACCGTGAACAGTTTTGTCGGAAAGTTCACGAGAGGCACTTCTGAAGTGTGTGCGTAGGCAGAGGCGTGTGTGACGAGAAGGAGCCAGCACCTCCCCACGCGGAGCAGGGCCCCTGAGCCTGCAGGGATGCAGCACCCGAGGGCCACGTTTGCCAGGCGCTCAGATGCCAGGCTTTGCCCACACCCTTCCCCCTGGCCCCCCACCGCTGGTGGTTTTGGGAAGAGCGTATCATGTTAGGAGTGATCCGCTTTCAAAGAGGGGAGCTTGAGACAGAGAAGTGCACAGAGTGTTGTCAACACCAGGTCCCTCTGTGTTAATACATCCAAAGACCCGTGCTCTTTTTTTTAAATTTTAGTTTATTTATTTATTTACTTTGAGAGAGAGCGAGACAGAGACTGTGCACAAGTGGGGGAGGGGCAGAGAGAAGGAGAGACAGGATCCCAAGCAGGCTCTGAGCCATCAGCACAGTGCCCGACGCGGGGCTCGATCCCACAAATTGTGAGATCATGACCTGAGCCGAGATCAAGAGCCGGACGCTTAACCGACTGTGCCACCCAGGCGCCCCAGACCTGTGTTCTTATTTCATCTGCTTTGTGGTGACATAGTCGCTGTCACCGTTTTCCACTGAGTAATCTGTCCACATATTCCTGTTAAAGACAAAAAGACAAAATCTGTAGTCATGGAACTGGGCGGCCTAGGGTTGACGGAGCAAAATAGGGTTCTTCTGAATCAGGGACCCTCCCCCTCAGCACTGCTGCCACTCGGGCGGGGCTGTTTGCTCTGGGGAGGCCTCCAGTGCGCCACACCCCCTGCCCCCCAGCTGTGGAAACCACCAGCGTGCCGGGAAGCCCAAATCACCCCCCGTTAGGAACCACTGAGCCGAAAGAGCTGTTTGCTGAGCAACCCTGGGCCTGACCCCTTTGGGGGCTGTGGTGGGGGAGGGGGCACACTGGGAATGCCCCTCCTCGGCACGTCCCCAAGAGCCCGTCCCACCGGGCAGGGAGCCCAACTCGCATAAGAGGCAGTGTAGAGGAGATTGAAGACAGCATTGTCTCCTCAGGTGCTCCCTTGGACATGTCATTATACAGCTGGTCACAGGTGTTGCCAAGGTCAGCTGTGCAGTCGGGAAGGAGGTCATCCCTGAGGCCCTTGGTCTCTCACCCCAACCGTGGGAGCGTGAGTGCCATCGTCTCCCCTCCAGGTCTGCCCACCTCTTGGACCTGGAGGGAAAGACGGCAGGGGTCTCCAGTCCGAGGCCACTAAAGCGGGCGGACTGGTCTCCAGCCCTGCCCATGGCGCCTGTGGGTCCGGCGGGTGGAGCTCTCAGCCCCAGCACCCCAGGGAAGGAAGGTGGTCAGTCTGTGTCCTACACTAAACCCGTTTCCTTTCCTCTCCTCTCCCAGTGCTGACCCTGCAGGACCTCTGCTGCCGGGCTGTGGTGTCCTGCACACCTGTGCACCTGGTGGACAAGCTCCCGCTGCCGATGGCCTTGAGGAGTCACCTCAAATCCTTCTCGATGGCCAGTGGCCTCAATGCCAGGATGATGCACGGCCGCTCCTACTCTCTCACCACCAGCTCCACCCACAAGAGGAGCAGCCTCCGAAAAGTGAAGACCACCCGCCCCCCCCAGAGCCCGCCCAAGCGCTGCCCCCGGAACAGCTGTAAAGTCTCCTGAGGGAGGCACCAGGACACAGACACTGGCCCCTCTGCGAGAGGCTCTGAGCCGTCACTTGTGGGACGCGGGAGCCCGTTCCAGCCCCGGGAAAGCGCCTGCCGGTCTCTCGTGGTGATCGTGCCGCCCCGCGCATTGAAAACACCCCGCACAGCTCGACGTTGGTGTTTCTACGTGGATGTGCATGAAGCTCTTGCTTTAGATGTGTGTTTATAAAGGGGGTCAGCACTGTGCTCAGCTCCTGATAATGTGAGATTTCAGACGTCACTTACGTCGTGGCTGCAGCACGGCCTTTGCTTTATAGGACTGCTTTTATAAGAACGGTGACGTGTGTCGTGAGTGCAAATTCCAGGGACTCTGGAAAGCAACAGGGGAGAGAAATTAGTCTTTGACCTCACAAGAGGGCCTTTTTGTAAGTCTCCTCGTCACATCGGAGCGCGAGTTTATGACGTGCTGTGGAGGATCAGAGTTGGCACGGCCACTCTGTCCGCCTCGGGTCTGACATGGATTTGATAAAGTTTTTGCTATGTTATTTACCATGTTTGGGGATTAATAAGTGATTTATATGCATATTTTTCTGTAAATCTACATTTTTTTGTACAAGATGTTCCACAAGTTACAAGGCTAAGGGAAGAAAATGCCAAAGATATCTCCAGTTGTGCCAAACGGCCACAACATAGTTACAACAGATCCAGATCGGCAAGGAAGATACCGTCCAGAGCCGTGTCGGTAAGGAATGAAGTGGCCACCATTATTTAAGCAAGTGTTTCCTGACAATAAAATGTACACTTGTTTCTTGGTAGGGTCGTCGGCTGGTTCCTTCTGATTTTGTGTATTCACATAGCCCTTTGTTTCATTTGCTTTATCAAGTGTTTCAAGTGCCACAAATTCGTGCCAGTACATGGAGCTGGCAGCAAGGCTTTGTTCCTGAACCGTGGCATGTGTTGAAAAAGCTTCCTTTCCCTGGAAAGACATGTAGAAGCAGAAAATGGGAAGTCTCGGGGGCACCAGGGTGGCTCGGTGAGTTAAGTGTCCAACTGTTGATTTTGGCTCAGGCCACGATCCCAGGGTCATGGCCTCTGCACTGAGCATGGAACCTGCTTGGGACTCTCTCCCTCTCTCTCTGTACCCGCCCCCGGTCATGCTCACTCACTCCCTAAAAACAAGTGGGAAGTATATATTTTTATTTTTTATTTTTTAAAATTTACATCCAAAGTAGTTGGCATCTAGTGCAACGGTGATTTCAGGAGTAGATTCCTTAGTGCCCCTTCCCCATTTAGCACCCCCCAACCCCTCCCGTAACCCTCAGTTTGCTCTCCATATTTATGAGTCTCTTCTGTTTTGTTCCCCTCCCTGTTTTTATAGTCTTTTTGTTTCCCTTCCCTTATGTTCATCTGTTTTGTCTCTTAAAGTCCTCATATGAGTGAAGTCATATGATTTTTGTCTTTCTCTGACTAATTTCACTTAGCATAATACCCTCCAGTTCCATCCGCGTAGTTGCAAATGGCAAGATTTCATTGTTTTTGATTGCTGAGTAATATTCCATTGTATGTATATACCACATCTTCTTTATCCATTCAACCGTGGATGGACATTTGGGCTCTTTCCATACTTTGGCTATTGTTGATAGCACTGCTATAAACATGGGGGTGCATGCGTCCCTTCGAAACAGCACACCTGTATCCCTTGGATAAATGCCTAGTAGTGCAATTGCTGGGTCGTAGGGTAGTTCTATTTTTAGTTTTTTGAGGAACCTCCATACTGTTTTCCAGACTGGCTGCACCAGCTCGCATTCCCAAAACAAGTGGGAAGTATTAACGAGAGGCCCTCAAGTGTGTGCCTGTCTGGTAAAAGCAGAGAGGTACTCTTGAATCCCTCTGGGACGTGTCTCCCCGCACCCCTCCAACGGACGAGGTCCTAACCACCAATCACAAATGACTCATACAGGACATGTGGACTGTGCAAAGGCCCTGGGCAGGGTCTTGCCTGCCCTGCTGTACCTGCTTCACATCTCTCTGCAGTAGCTGGAGGTTACAATGAGGAATTTTTAATTTTAATTTAATTTAATTTAATTTAATTTTTTAAGTTTAATTTATTTTAAGAGAGAGTGCAAGTGGAGGAGGAGCAGAGACAGAGGGAGATAGAGAATCCCAAGCAGGCTCTGCACAGTCAGCACAGAGCCGATGTGGGGCTTGAACTCATGAACCTGTGAGATCATGACCTGAGCTGAAACCAAGAGTCAGACACTTAACCGACTGAGCCACCTAGGGGCCCCTATTTTATTTTATTTTATTTATTTTATTTTTTTACATAAAAATCTTTGTAATTTTTTTTTTTAATTTTGTTTGTTTGTTTGTTTGTTTGTTTGTTTAGAGAGCTAGCACACACAAGCAGGGGAGGGGCAGAGAGAAGGAGAGACACAACCCTAAGCAGGCTCCACGCCGTCAGTGCACAGACCCATGCGGGGCTCGAACTCACAAAACCCTGAGATCATGACCTGAGCCCAGATCAAGAGTCAGATGTTTAACCGACTGAGCCACCCAGGGGCCCCCCAACGAGGAATTTTTAAAAAATAACTAGAGAAAACGCTCAGGTGTTCTCAGTTTCTGTTCATGATTTACAGATTTTGAGACACTGAAGTGACCTAGAATCAGAAGCAACATCTCTATTCGGAGATGTGCACGTGAGGCCCAGAGAGGAGAAATGAGCCCAGCCCCCTCCAGTCGCTGAAGGCCCAGAGCCAGGCTGGGGGTCGTGCAGCCCCCAGAGCACGACAGAGACACATGTCCACAGGGGAGTGGTCTAGTGGACAGCTGGTAAACCCGCAGGGGCTGCCTGGGAGGACATCCTGCTGGGGCCACAGCACCTTCTCTCTGCCAGGCAGTGGGTGGAGACAGAAGGGCTGACCCACTGACCAGGAGCGCAGGGATGGCTGGGCAGTCCGGGGTGGGTGTCATCTGACCTGTGGTGGGCCAAGGTGGGCATCTCCTCCCCACGCTGGCAGCCAGGAGGGCTGTAGGGAGAGGTCCAGGGTGAATGAAGCCCCTCTCCCTTCTGAAGACAGCGCTTCTTGAGAACGAAACGTGCGTGTCCTGGAGGCAGTGGAAGGTGGTACGATGCTGGAATGGGTCCCCTGGTGATAGGGTCACACCAGGCCAAACAGGGCTCTTTTCTCCTCCATTCAATCGAAGGACTCCTTAGGACCACCACTAATGTCCTAGAAGGAATATAACGAGGGTCCTGAAGCCTCGGTGACCCCGAGCTCTTCCAAGGGGTTTCCAAAGCACACAGGCCTCCTGGGGGGGACAAAGGACGCCTGGAGTTCCCAGAAGCTGGCAGAGGCAGGAAGGAGCCCCCAGAGCCCCTGCAGGAGCGCCCACACCTGGATCTCAGACTCTGGCCCCAGAACTGAGAGAGGACAAATCTCTGCTGTGTGAAGCTCCCCCGTTGTGGGGCACTTTGTTATGGTGGCCCCAGGACACTTACACAAGTTATACTTCACTGCAGAAAGTGCTATAGCAAATCGAAGTGGCATTTCTATGAAAGAGAAACAAATAAACTGAAGTACGGAATGTAAGTAAAGCATGCATGTTTTGGTGGGAATGTGCCGAAAACATAATCAAGTGTAAACTGAACCCTAGAAAAACTGCTCTCAAACATTGTCATTTTCTCCCATGGCCCCATTGCTGGCAAAATCAACCCAAAGTACAAACAGGAATGCCAAATGATGCCCCAGATGTTTGTAATTCTCTTTTTAAGCATCTAGATTCAAAATAGATTATGTACAATTATGTCTTCAATTGCCCTGTGAGAACTATTGCAATGCAGACTAATTTCCCAGACCGAGAACTCACGGCTTTGACGAGGAACTATCCAAGCAAATACTGAATGTGGAAAAAATGTCAATTACAGGCCTGATCACATGGGTCTGCCGAGGAGACGGAGACAGCACCCTTTGCTGGAGAACCGCTTCATTAAACAAGTGTGAATTCAAGAAGCAGCATTGAAGCTGCCTGTGCTAGGGGAGCGGGGGGGGGGGGGGGTGGTGGTGGAGGGAGGCCGTCCAGCTCCTATGAGGGTCGGAAGCACGGTGCCCCAGCTGGGAGGGCTGGCGGCCAGCGGGTTGGGACGCTGTGCTCACTCTGTTCTCTTCCAGCAATGCCTGTGTTCTCAGGGTCTTACTTTTTCCCTGGTTCCCAGCGTCTTCTGGGAGTGTTCTCACTGTGCTGAGCTATTGAGGGCTGTTGGCCCGAGTAATTGGACAAAGCTCTCAGAGCAGGATGGCTGTGGGGCGTGGGGCACGTCTACCAGGCGGTGGGCAGACGGGTCAGTGGTAGGTAACGGAGCAACTTCCTGTAAGCAGGCTGGCAGGTGCCTGACGAGGTTTCCTACCCTGGTGTGAGAGTCTGGAGCCCCCTGTGCAGAGGTTGAACTGTATCCTGGGCTGGCCCTGCCTCCCCTCACCTCGGACTCTCTTTCCCCAACCTGCCTGGCCCCATGCGTTCTAGCTTTGATGGAAAATTTGGGTCTGTGCCGCTTTCTTTAAATCTTTGGATTCTCACACGCCTCTCTTCTCAAAAAAAAAGCTGGCTCCTGACAATAAAGTTTTGGCTTTTAATACTACTGTCCCCTCCCTGCATCGGTCTGGAACTCAAGAGTAAAACATTGCTTCTTTCCCTCTGTTTCCCCATGACAACAACTGGGGGAAGCGTCCGAGTCTTCGTGGAGAGGAAGACAAAGGCCGCCAGGAATGCACTGACTCTGCAAGGAGGGAGCCGGGCATCTTCACGAGCAGTGCCGGAGGGGACTTAGTGTCCTAGCACAGGTGGACTGAGGTGGGCATCTCCTCCCCACACTGGCGGCCAGGAGGGGTGTAGGGAGAGGTCCAGGCTGAATGAAGCCCCTCTCCCTTCTGAAGAGCGAGCTCGCGAATGAAAGGTGTGTGTCCCTGAGGCAGTGGAAGGTGGTGGGACACTGGAGTGGGCCCTGGTGGCAGGGCCACACCAGGCCAAACGGGGCTCTTTTCCCTTCACATCCTCCCTTGTGCGAGGTGACTGGGGGGCATCGGAGGAAACCCACTTTGTTCTGCGTTGGGTGCTCTCAGGGAGCAGGCTTCTGAGAGGCCTAGTTTAGTAATTTCCATCTAGAAGGTGGGAAAGCAGGGCAAGATTAACACTGTCATTGGCAAGCAGGATGGGCTGTCTGGTCTCCGGCTGCCTCAGACACTGCCCCTTTCCAGTCTGTTCTGTTCCTGTGGCCCTTACTTCCGTCCTGCCCCCGTCAACCAGAGAGGTGTCGTGTCCCACGGAGCCCACTGTGCCCGCTGTGTGTGCCAGTGTCTCTGGCACTCTTCCCCGTGCCCTTTGAAGTGACAGGAAGACAGGCACAGTCTCTGCCTGGTAGAGGCTCACTTCCTGATTCTGCATGGGGGCTGGAGTGGGGGGGGGGTGCCTCAAAGCTCCAATCCCATCAGCATGGTCTGCTGGTCTTGAGTTCTTATTCTAGAATTTCATCATTACTTCAGATTACACTTCAGAAATGGGGATGATGGGTGGTGACTTTCTTTGAAGGCTCTCTAATCATTTTATTGTGAAATTTATCGTGAAATAACCTTTTTAAAAAAACGTTTAATGTTTATTTATCTTTGAGAGAGAGAGAGAGAGAGACAGAATGTGAGTGGGGGAGGGGCAGAGACAGGAGACAGAATCTGAAGCAGCTCCAGGCTCTGGGCTGTCTGCACAGAGCCTGCCTGACATGGGTCTCCAGCTTCTGAACCATGAGATCATGACCTGAGCCGAAGTTGGGCACTTAACTGACTGAGCCACCCAGGCACCCCTATCATGAAATAACCTTACCCCAAAAGCTCTCTGCATGTTGTAATAGTTTACTATTGCTGTTGTGTTTGGGTGTCTTGTGCCTGCCATAACCAGCCAGGACCAGTTCCTTCTGGAAGCTCCAGGAGAGAATCAGTTCCACGACTCTTCCAGCTTTTAGAAGCTGCCAACATTCCTTGGCTCCTGGCTGCACTACTCCAATGTCTGTCTCCACAGGGACACTGACACTCCTGTGTCCCTCTTCAAATGTGATTACATTTGGGGCCCACCTGGACAATCCATCTGAAGGTCCTGCAAAATCTCTTCTGCCATATAAGGCGACACATTCATGGGCTGCAGAGATCAGGGTGTGGGCATCGTCATTGTGACGAGCCGTTACTCAGCCAGCCACACACACCCGGACCCATTGCAGATCACTCTGTTGCCCACCAGTACCTCCAGTTCTGGGTAAACCATGCCCTTGGTTTTCTCTATTCTCCAGCACCCACGTAGGTACTTGCCCCTAAACAACGGGCTAATCAGTTTGCTATTTTAAGCTTTGTGTAAATTGTTTTACACCACAGGCGTGCTTCTGCAACTTGCTTTTCATGCTCAACACAAATGGCTCTGTCTGCTCGCCTTGGTGCCTCTGTGCCGCCACGTGGTGTGCTCGCCGCAGTCTGTCCCTGCTTGCGGACGCCGTGTGCTTGTTTCTCCACAGGTGTCTAACCCCCTGGCCTCGCACAGTATTTCCACCTTTAAAAAAAAAAAAACCCTTTAATAACCCGTAATAGACCCAGACCCCTCGCAGAGTACCCCATCCCCAGTGGAGACCCTCCCTGGCTCACAGGGACACGCAGAGTATTCCGAGGTTCTGTGCATTTCTCTCTGTGGCCTGTGTTGTTAAAACATTAAATGTAATTTTCCCCTTAACACATGTAATGCCTAGGCCCTCCATGCCTGATTCAAAACCCAGTCTGTGCCCCAGAGGTGAGAACGTGCCCCCCCACCCCCGCCGCCACTTAAGAGGGGGAGTCAGTGAGGGTCCCGGCACTCATTTTGGCCCACATCTCCCATCTTCTGCCTGAAGACTTGTAAGCTACCAACGGGCTGATTCCCTAGGGCTGCCATAAACAGATGGCTCCAGCAAGAAGCTGGCACATTCTCGTGATCTGGGGGGTCTGGGGAGAACCCTTTCCAGGACTCTTCTGGCTCCTGGGTGTGGGTGGCAGTTCTCAGCACTGGCTGGCTTGTGGCCATATGGCTCTGATTTCAGCCTTCTCATCAAGTGGCCATCCTTCGGTCTTTCCGCCCTCCCTTCTCTGCTACAATGCATTACTATTTTTACTTACTTATATTTTCAATTAAAAGAAAAAGTCTCTTACACTTAATTTATATGATTCCTGTGGGGTGGGCCCTGCCTGCTGGAGGCCGGCGCGGGGCGCGGGTGCCTCTGTGAATCGCCCTTCCCTCCTAGGCGGGTTGCCCTCGGATCGCCTCCGAGCCGGCACGTGTTTCTCCGCCGCCCAGGCCCGCCTCCCTCCGCTCAGGCCCCGCCCCCGACGCGGTCTCCGCCCCCTCGCACGTGACGCACTCGGTGCTCCCTCACCGCCCTGGCCCGGCCCAGGTGGATGCGCTCGGCGCTCCGCGGCTCCCTGGCTGCGCACGCACGCACGTCCGCCCCTCGCTTCCGGCGCGGTGGCCTCCGCCGGGCAGACGGGACCCCAGCCCCCGGCCTCCCCGAGGACATGCGGCGCTGAGGAGCGGCGGACCCTTCGCGGCGGCGCCATGAACCTCCTGCCGTGTAACCCTCACGGCAACGGGCTGCTCTACGCCGGCTTCAACCAGGACCACGGTGAGGGCGCCCCTGCGCGCGCCCGGGCCCCGACCCGGCCTCTTCCCGGAGTCCCCGGATCGGGCCGGCCCCTCCCCCACGCTCCTCACCCGGCCAGGTCCCTTCCCGACGACCCTCCCCCCCCCCCGACTCAGCCGGGCCCCTCCCCCGAGGCCCCCCCCGTCCGGGCCCAACCGGCCCTCCCCGAACACCGGCCAGCTCGGCACGTTCCCACCCCGGACGCTCCTCACCGGGTCTGACCCCTTCCCCGACACCCTCCGACCCGGCCGGTCCCCTTCCCTCACGTCCACCCCCCCCCCCCCGCCCTTGACCTGGCCTCCCCTGAAGTCTCCGTCCCCACCGGCCCCCTCCCCGAGGCGGCACCCCGGGCGGGGGGGGGGGTCGCTCCCCTCCGGACTTCCGTGGAGCTCCGGGCGGCGGCCGCACCCACTCGCTCAGGGCCCTGCGGGCTCCCACCGGCTTCGGCTACCCGGGGCTTTTCTCACGGCGCACACTGGGGTCTGCTTCGGAACTCCGCGCTTTTTCCCGCACTCGTTTAGGGTCTCCACGTAAGCGGTGGTGGCTTGACAACGCCTGCTTTCTTGTCCGCTGCGGGTTGGGCCTCTCGACGATTCTCGCGGCCCAGCGGCCCGGTCGGGCTGAGGTCGCCCTCGCCTTTCCGGTCCGATTACCGGGAGCGTGCCCGTGAGCTACCCCGGCGTGTCTTGCCGAGTGAAATCAAAGGACTTGGTTGTCGGGGAAGCCTTGGGGGGTGGCGGGAAACGCGCTTTCCTCCCGGTTTTGAGTCCAGCTGAGGCCCCCTGGGTAGTTTAAGCCAGCCCTGCAGCCGCGTCCGGGAAGGCCCGCAGGGTGCGGGCGGGAGGGGCGGGGAGGAACTCGATCCGAGGAGCTGCCCCCGCTGCGGAGCCAGGGTTTTGCCTCCGGGAGGAGCCGGGTGACAGCGGCCGCCCCGGGACACGCTCCTGAGGGCTTTTGCGTGGCAGCTTCGCAAGTTTTGTGTCTGAGGGGAACCCGAGAAAGTGCCGTAGGCCCCGTTTTTGGGAGACTCGATTTCAGTAGTCGGTGCTGCCTCGCTGCGGCCGGCGCGTATTTACCTTGCGCCCCCGCCCTGCCCGGCGCTGAGGGTCAGGTCCGACCTATCCACAGGTGTCGACTGTGGTGTCACAGGTGGGCGGTGGGAGTAGGCCCGAGATGTGTGTGGGAGGAGGGCGAGCTTGGTTGCGGCCTCTGAGCTTGTCGAGGGGTTCTTGGTGGTGGTGGCGGGGGTTGGTGGGAATCCGGCCTGTGAGCTCTGGAGGGGTTCTTGGTGGGGGGGGGGGGAGCCGGTCTCTG